CAACCTTTGCAAAAATTGAATCAAAATCAACATCAGATGCCATCAGAAACCAAAGTATATAGATTCAACAAGACACTCAAAATAACAAAAGGTGGTTTAGAGCTGCTAGCATCCGCCACAAAAAACCTTGATTTCTCCCACCATTCATGCCACCTAAATTGCGCCAAACATAAAACATAAGCTTTTCATATAATCAACATGTAAAAATCATAAAGATGATTTTACAAAGACGGAATTAACACACACGATTTCTCCGCATCAGCTGGACTACACTGTTTTTCCATTCGGAGAGACATGCTTTTCTTATCACCAAATGGAGTCTCGGGATGAACGTCATCTTCAGGATTCCCATCATCCACACCTCGCTTCACAGTTTTCCTTTCCCTCTTCTTAGACGCATTGGATGATTGTTGTGGTTGTGCTGCTAAAACTAAAAGAAACAAAATAAAACTCGCCAATTTCAATCCAAGCATTACTTACACGATCAAGTTTATGAAGAAAACACCGAAAAAAATGCAAATTAAAAAAAGAAAGAAAATAAAATGTTGCAGAGACTCCATTGCTCAACACCGCAAAGGGTTCAAATCAAAACCTCCACAATTTAAATTCGTGGGTGTAATAGAATACTTTTTTTTTATCATATCATATTATCTATGATATTTATTTATTTATTTTATTTTTCTCTTCAAATACAAATCCCTTCATAAATATTTATGAAATATTTTCTTTACTTAAATTTGGAATTTGATTATTTCACACTTAGAGTTTTAGGGTTTAGAGTTTAGAAGTATATAAAATTGATGAAAAAAAATTTGTTTTTGGTGTACAATAAACATAAAAATGTCAGTGTCAAATAACAATAATCTTTTAAATTTGGATTCAGGGATGTCAATGGTGAGACATTCTTAAAGATATTAGCTCACGTTGTGCCAATCATAAAATTTAAGACTTATGTAACAATCGTTTACTACTTTATAAAACAAGTTTTAAATAAAAGTAGTTATTTATTATTGTGTTAAAAATATAAAACACATCAAATAATTTTTTTATTTAGTAATTAAAAATTCCTAAGAATAAAGAGTAGGAAAATTTAGATTTATTTTAAAATTTATTAGAGGTATTTATTTAAATTAACTATTTTTAATTAATTAATCCCTCTTTATTTTTTCCTTAAAAAAATCTGAAAATATTTATATATAATAATCTTAGCATATAAGTTAATTATTGTTTTAAAATATTATAAACAAAGTTATTTACAAATTCAGAAAGCAATTGTATCCCTAAAAAATATCTGAAAACATTTATATGTAATAATCTTTGTTGAAATGTTTAGTGGAGAAGGGAAGGAAATGATTTGAAAGATAAAAAAAGGGAAGAGAAAAGATGATTAAGCTTTTATATTTTTTGAATGTTTAATATAGAGGAGGGGCCACTTTAACCATGTAAATAACATTATTGTCTTTTGTATTTTTTTTTAGTTTTATTTTTTTATTTTTTAAAAAAAGAAATTAAACATTTTTCTCTCTAAAAATTAATATTTTTATTTTTTATAATTTTAAAAAATTTCACTTTAAAAACTAACATATCTTAAAAAAAAAATTCTACTTATTAAAGAGTACAAAAGAATAGAAAATAGAAATAGTCCTATAATGAAAAATTCAGAAAACCAACATTAAGAAGACTGGGGTTTAGAAAAAGTTTTAATCATTTTTTTAATTAATTAATTCTTAAATAAGTATTAAGTTTGACTAACTCTTCTCTTTCTTTTCTCTTCTCTTTTAAATATGAAATTCATTTATAGCCTAAAGTGAAAATTTTGAAAGCTATTAACAGTTCCTCAAGTTGTCTTGTTTTTCAATCCCTACAATTCTCTTACACGATATTTTCATCTCTAAAAATATTAAATGCAAATTTTTAATTTTAATTAAAAATTATACCATTATTTAGTTTTCAATAGAAAAAAAATGGCTCTTTTATTAATGGAGAGTAGTTAGTTGTTTCCTCATAATTTGTATGTGCCAACTGGGTTTTTTCTTTTCTTGAACGCTTCATTGTTTGATTGTGCAAAGCAAAGAAAAAAGTATATTATTTTATAAAGTAACAAAAAAATTATTAAAAAATTATATAAAAGACTGAGAAATGATGTCTTATCGATACTAGTTAAGAAATTTAAAAAATTATAAAAAACATTATTAATATGCAATTTCCTATGATTTTCAGTATATTTCAATGAAATTTTTAATGAAATTCTCAGTATATCAAAACCCTAAAAGAATATAGTAAAACTCAATTAAAAATAATTTCCCAAGGCCGTAAATACTGGACAACACTCTTTGACTGTGATTTGAATAAAAATACTTGCGATATAAGTTAACATTTCTTTTATTGTGGTCTTCTCCGATAATTGTGAGGGTATATGCATTTAATTAATCTTACAACACAATTCATCTTGAATATAATTTAAGTAATTTAATTTTAAAGTTTTTCTTTAAACAGATGTAACAACTATAGGTTTTATCTATAATTTTTTTTAAAGAAAATTAATGCATTTAAAAAGTAATTTAATTTTATATAATTTAATATTTCTAATTAATAGATAATTATATTTTATTTTTACTTTTCATACCTTTAATTTTAAAAATTAGTCAATACCATCAATATTAATACTCACTAAAATTAGAAAGGAATTTAGAATTAATACATGTTTTATTTTTCAATTAATCTTTATCTAACATAATATGCTAATAACTTGGATGTGTTTGGTTTAAGGTTAGAGGTTTTTGTAATCGAAATTAAATTCTACATGGATGATCATGGTGTATTGTGCAGTGATGCACGTTTTACTGTATTAATACACTCTTTATTGTCTCAAAAATGATTATCGGATGAACTCGAACAAGCATGCAAGGGTCTTATTAATAAGTTTTAAATACATTAGTTACAAAATTAATATATATATATATATATATATTATAATGCATTATTAAAGCAATTAAAATGGGTGAATATTATTTATTTATTTAATAAAATGATTTTATTTTAAATTCTTTAATCAGTTTCTTAAAAATACTTGTTAGCATTTTGTCAACTTAAATATAAAATTGAGAAATGATAGTGATTATTGTGGTGCTAATAAATCTATTTTAAAGTAATATGAAAAATACTAATTTTCTTTTATGATGATAATTTGTTTGTATCTTATTGATTATAAATTTCATTTTTACTAATACTTAAGAGTTATCGATTTATTTTGATTATTATGTTAATTTGACATGTCTAAGCAAATAATTTATAAAAAGTGTAAAAATAATATTAAATTTGAATAAAAAATAAAAAATGGTACGACATCTGAGAAGACAGAAAGGTGTCGGCATATGGTGGTTTGTTTGGATTAGGAACGTCAGCAAGGGCGGCGGCCACAAACAGTAGTTACCCGCTGTCTCCTCTCCTCTAAGTGATATCTATAATTTTTCTTTTTTTTTCAAAAAATTATAAAAATTTATTACCCAATATTAAAATTATTTTTCTCATAAATTTATTCTAACATTAAATTTAAAATATTCAGTTCCAATAAATATATATAATATAATCTCATTTAAAGTATCTTAATGTTTATTATCCCAAATTTGAATGAAAATTCGTTTTTGGTTATCGCCGTATAAATGAAGATTCAAAGTCTTAATAATATTACCGAAGAAAAATGTTTTGACAAAATCTTCAACAGCGTACACAAACCATTGATTTCGGTTGAGTCGCTGTTGAGGTCGGTTGTAATGATGACACATTTTTTTGGCTCATATGCCACTTTTCTTAATTCATAGTTTTCATTCTTTTATTTTATTTCTTTAACCATCCAAAACAATTGTTTTGTTTCTTGGAGATATAAAATATAAAATTAATATTCTATTATATGTAAAATTTGCCATACACTTTGACGCTTAAACTTTTAATATGATTGTCAATTTCAACATACACATATTTACATTTCAATCTTAAAAGAACTAATTTTGTATGATGGGTTTTATAGATAAAATCATTTTAAGTGGAGAGATGCTTGAGTTGTGTTGTTTTTAATTTTAAATGTTATGTTCTTGAAAAATAAATATATGTTACACTCTAATTTATTATAAAACAAACAAGTTAGGTATATATATCGTTCAGATAATGCGATCCACACATTATTGACAAATATTTTTTAATTTCTATTTTTTATCATCTAAGTTTATAATTGGAATAGTACTTTTGAACGGGGCTCTAAAGTCTATATAGTATAGGCATTCAAACTGCTACTTCATTTTTTATAGCCTTAAAATTAATAATCAGTCGTTCAAAATTAACTACCTTCATGTAATATTTAAAGTTATAAAAAAAAACTAAAATAATTGTCCATAAAACCTTATTCATAATAGTTCGTTGCCGTTAAGTTTATTTACATTAATATTGGATTACATTGCAATATAATTAATTAGAAATTTATCAATAGTTTAAATAAATATATATATATATATATATATATATATATTAAACGTTTATTCAATGATACACAATAAAATATCAATAAATATTTTTTTGAAATTTGTAACATTTATATTAATAATTTAATTTTGTGATATCTTATGTTTTTTAATTAAAAATTATTATGCATAAATTTTCACAGTACCCTTAAGTGTACATTAAAAACATAGAATAAAATAAACTCATCCTAAGTGAAGTAATAAAATTTTATAAGTAATACAATTTTCAATGGAGTATCTTAACTCCGCTAGTTTACTTTTAAAATATGATTATTTATGATACCGCAGATTGTAACTTAGAGAGACCTTTATTTATTAAATTAGTTATTGTAACAAGATCTCTGAATCTATCACAAATTTCACAACAACGCTCATAATAAATTAAGAACTCAACATTAAATTAATAACCTAACCCAAATTGATATTTGAACAGTAATCTACGGTGGGGTTTGACGCAAATAATTTATAGGCAGCAGTGGGAAGATGCTTAATCAGATGAAGAAGCGACAGAAAGCAGTTGCCTAAAATGACTTCTCCATTCTTTCAGAACACAGATTGGGACATGTTTCAAGACCCTTCTGAAATCTTGTTCCAATCATCATCAACAAATGTTCTCAATGACCCTATCCACGATTCTCTCTCCTTCGACATGGTTGACTTCTCCACCGGTTCATCTCTACCAACAGAAGAAAACCACAACGAGGCAAAGCAATTGGTTGTGAAGTCTGAAGCAAAACAAGCTGAGAGTAAGGAAAGGTCATATATAGGTGTGAGGAAAAGGCCATGGGGAAAATATGCAGCTGAAATTAGAGACACAACAAGAAACGGTACAAGGGTTTGGCTTGGAACCTTTGACAGTGCTGAAGCTGCTGCTTTAGCTTATGATCAAGCTGCATTCTCCATGAGAGGTCATAACGCTGTTCTCAATTTTCCTGTCAAAAGGGTCAAAGAATCTTTGCAAGAGATTCAATATAGTTGCTGCAATGGCTCTTCACCCGCACTTGCACTCAAGGAGAGGCACTGTGTCCAGAGAAAGTTGTCATTAAAAGCTAAAAGGTGTAAAGGAAAAGAGAAATCAGAGGCAACAACCTCGTGTATGGTGGTGTTAGAGGACTTGGGTGTTGAATATTTAGAGCAACTTCTCAGCATATCCGACCAAAGTGCAAGCCCTAGCTACTTCAACTAATTAAACCTGTGCTACTATCTTTTTTCTTTCTTTGTTTATTTTTAGCTTTTTTTACAACTTCTTGTAGGTAATTGTGGTCTTTAATAAGCCTTGCACCATTTTTCTTCTTTGATCCACTAAGAAAATCTCTAATGATGTTAGATCCACCGAGAAAGAAAATGTGGTCAATCAGTTTTTTTTTTTACGAAATATGAAACAAAATGAAGATATATACTGCTAATCCCTTTTCCTTTCTAACGTTGTGTTATAGTAAACAAATTAATTTTCCTAATGTAACAGAAAATCTATCCCACCCACCAAATAAGTCTAATCACGTACACGTGTGATACAGTTTTCAACAAAACTTCAGAACTGTTATACTAACATTTGCAATGAAACACGAATATTAATTAAACAGCATTCATAAAATGGTGAATGAATGCTTTGAATGAGGATTCAACTGATAGCATTAGAAAAGAAGTCAGTTGATTCCTATGATGGTATATATACCACCCTACAAAAAACCACATCAGCTTTTTCAATAAATTGAACTGATTCCTTTCTTACCTGAGCAATTGAGAATCATTAGGCTGTCAAGTATGCTACAAGTGGAGGCTTAAGAGTTTATGAATTTTTCTGCCTTTAGAAGTGTATCAACTTGTTGACTGTCTTCTTTAGTTGAGCCTGGATTCTTTCTCCCAAATTAATTTGTGCGGTAAATCATTTTTCATGATTTTGTGTTCAAGTGTTTTGAATCCATTCTTGCACCAAATAATGTCCTTCATACCCTGCAGAGCTTCATTTTCTTCACATTAATCTTTGAACATTATCTTCCATTAAAAATTCTCAAGAAATGCTAAAAAAGGTAAGTTTATTACATCGCTTACGACCTGGATATTATAGCAACACTCATCTTGGCATATCTACGTATTGTCTGATACAATCATACAGCGTCACAAATACGATCAAAGATTTAGATCAAGATAGCAGATAGTAATTTATACCAACAATCAGGAACCTTAATTTCTTTGTTTTATATCTCATGTCTGTCTCTTCCCCTTTCTTTACATCGCACTTTTAGTCACTAAAAGCAAATGAGGATTTTACAACCACAGCAACCAGAAAAGCATTCAATATAGATCAATTAAAAAAAGTCATAAATACGAGAAGAATCTTTAAATTCGTTAAATACATCAAATGTAACACAGGAAGCCTTGAATTCCTGCCTGAAGAAACAAAAAATCTTGTCTCACAAAGATACAGATAACTAGTGATTTACTATCTTCAATAAAAATTTCAATACATATACCACAAATACCTTATTCAGTTTGAAATTATACAACACACACTAACAATATTCCGTTCATTACACTTCCAAAAACATAAAATAACAAAAGTCGTAACTTCATAAAAAAACATGTGATTCCATATTTGACAAACTACAACTTTAGTGTCCTTAAATGATAATACATACTTTATTATTTTGTATAAGTTTAAAAAAATGACAATCAAGTAACATTTTTACGATTATTTATTAAAATAAAAGATAAAAACAAAATATTTTCACAGGTGTTAAGACTTAGTACCTGAGACTAAAACTACATATGACAATAACTAGCAAAGACGTCATATTTTAAGTGTGTTGTTAATATATTTGACAATGCTAGTCTATTAAGGGGCGCCGCTGCAATTGGAAGCAATTAAAGATAGTTCATCCATATATCACATATATAAGCAACACTATTTGTAATTCAATACATGTATTTGGTCAAAAAGGCAAATAGATCACAAGCTTCACGTATGCATATTGTACTTGTCAACCACATTGGGTAATCAACTTGTCAGTTTGTCACTTAATGTGGAAAAAGTTGAAGCTAAAATTATTTCTAGTATATTTTTACAAGAGATAAAGAATGAAATTTTTAAAGGAAAAGCGATATTGATGTTAAGCACTAGCCATTCTACAGTTCTACTCCTTGCAAGATGCAACGTTTTTATTTTATCCTTCCCTATCCTAGTCTCATGAGTTTCTAGGGAAAATAAGAATGAGCTGATCTTGAACACTCGTGTATATATACGCAAGATTATCACATCAATCATTTGCTCTACCTAAATTTCGTCAAGAGACGTTCTAATGATCTTAATCTTGCTGAATTAAAGACAGACATATCAAGGTTTTAGTACTATTTTTTAAAAATGAATATATGAAAGCTTAAACATATAATACTTGAAGTGGAGAGTTGGTCTAACATTTGAAGGCATATATGAAAAATTACTCGTCCACAGAAGAGAATTGAAGTTTATAACATCCAGATTAAACACCATATTTGTCAAATTATCGTGCAATACAATACATTTTAAGATAAATCCGTAGCATTAATGCTAGTGTTTAATAATTTATAAGTTGATATTTAACTGCTATATTTATAGCATTTATGTCGAGTAAGAAGTCTAAAACAACACAAAGGATCAATCAAACCCAACACATTCTTATCATCCGAATCAAAAGGACAATTCCTAAACAAAGACAATGCAACCTCATCTTTGTTGTGATCAAGGTAATTCCATTTCCAGAAATGCCAGACAATAGAAATTTTACAAAAAAAAAAAAAAAAAGGACAGACAGAAATCACAATTCACACATACCTATCAAACACTGTTTCCGGTTCCACCATTTTTGCTGAAATATCTTCCTTTACCAAAAATTCAGCTGAAAACTGGAGACCAACAACCTATAAACAGTATAAACTTTAAACATTAATTTTAGTTTTGATGGAAAAGTAAATTGTGTTTTGAGGGTGTGAAGGATAGGGTTTAAAGGAGGCGGAAGAGGAAGGGAGAGAAGAGCAAGTTTCGTGTCCGAATCCGACAGTTAAAAAAGGCAACAAAATACAATGTTTGTGTCTCAGAATACAAAATGACTAAAAATCCCACTTTGCTTATCATTTATTCTTCTGTTATTTTATTCACTGTCACTTTCTTTTCTCCACACTTCTCTCGCCAACACTTGCAAGAAAGCGAAGAGTATGTGACAATAAAGTAAAGAAAGTGGGAAAACAAAAGAAGAAAAATTTGATATTACTATTTGTTTTTTGTTTGGACTTGCAATATAGAATGGATTGAACATAAAAATTCTCATTTTCTAATGTTTTAAAAATTCGGTAATGAAAGGTTTCATCATAACGTAATAGTTATATTAAATTTTTATATATTTAATCAATATTTTTATCTTTAAATAAAAGACATCTATTGTAATAATCATGACCCACAAAAAGTATTTTAAAAAAATTATCCAAAATACTTCTTCCCTTTTATGCTCCCAAATCATTAACAAGGTTTCGATATTTTCACCTTTATATTCATTTCTTTAGAATCGTTCCCCAAAGTCATTCTTAGATATTCCATTTCAGCCTCTGCAACATTTTTTCTCTGCAGCCAAAGTCATAAATATATATATATATATATATATATATATATATATATATATATATATTATATTTTCTCTTTTTTTAGTTACTCTGCAAAATCATATTAATAGTTGAAATTGTTGTAAGATGTTGACGGCATAAAAAATCTGCAGGAGATCGAGGATCAAAGTGTCCAAAATCACCCATTTCAAATAAAACCAAAATGTATCCACTTTGTACTGTTGACGTTTGCACCTAAGACACGAATGACATTGACGTGAAGGAAAAGTTTAGCAATATTATAAATAAATTGCATAATAATTTGATTGGCTGTTCATGAACAAAACTACACCGCTAAAGATAATAATAGAACAACTTATAGTTTGAAAAGTAATTGATACATATAGTATTTGTTGTTTGGGAAGTACACCATCACTCACCCTGTTGTATAACTCATTAAAATTGAAATTATATGGAATAATTCTTACACGTAACTATTTGATTTCTAAATATAATTATTTTTTTTTTCTTTAAGCATAAGTTCTTATGAATATCTTATGTGTCGTCTATCTTTTCTTCCTTTTGGCTGTTAACTATAATCCCTTTTTCATCTTTAACATATGTAATTTCATGAAGTTTTTCTACATATACAACACGAACTCAATGTAACTGAACGAGAAAAAAAAAAGTTTTGAATTCCTTTATTGAAACATCCATGTTTGCTATTGCATGTATAGTAGTAAAAACAAACAGATATAGATCATTTCAAAACAACTTACATTTTTCGTTTGAGGCATTAAATCAGACTGTGTCTTGAAAGAGATTTAAGAAGCCTAACCCACTGTATAAGTATAGCTTCCCTTTGGTCAAACAAAGTGTGCTCTTACCTATATTGAACATTAATGCAATGCATGAGACATTTAATTTGCACAGACAAGACAGTAAAGGTAAAATGTTAAATACTTGAAATCAGAGGTAAACAGTGTTTATCCCATTCCAATCATCAAGAAGTACAACTATTTACTTTTTGTGGGCAAGAAGTTACATTCCAACAACCATAAGCCCTTGAGCTTTTCTTCCCTGGCATGTTACTTACATTCTCCAATCTTCAAAAACTATTTAAATAGGACACTAAGAATTAACAAGATTTAATTGAATGTTTTGTCACATAAATTCTACTTTTTAACGACCTATTATTTTTTTCCCTTTAATTAATGTAGTCTAACAAAAAATTAGCATTTAACAATAACTCAAAGTACTGTATCAGCTAAAGAAATTAAAAATAATAATTTATGAAAAAATAAATAAGTTTAAATTATACAATTCTGTAAAGACTAAACATTTAATTAAGCCAATTAATAATAAACCAAAGATTTTCACCATTTGCAACACATTACAGGACTCTTACTGATCAGTAATTATATATGGGGAGGTGTTGCTTACCTTGTGGCTTAAGAAGTTCGTCCAACAATTTCCCCTTCACAAAGGCCATTCTGCATCAAAGAGAATATCATAAAATTTTCAGAAACGGCTCAAAATTTCAAGTCTATAAATGCCCTCTAACTACTCAGATATGTGATATCCAGTAATTGAGTAAAATTTCTCCTCTATTTG